GAATATTATGGTTCCGGAAGCTTCACGCGATGTAGAGCTCAACATGTTGCGGCCTATAATCTCGTTTTAAGTGCTACATCTAGAATTCATTGGTAGGTTTCGAGATGACGCTCAAATTGACCTAGCGAATGTCCTTTCTGACCATAGCTCCTCCCTCAGGCAAAGCATATTTTGCTAAATGTCGAAGTTAAACTGATTTGAGAGGAGAGACTAGCAAGGATCAATGTGTACGCGTCCGTAGGTTATTGAGGAGTTTCATCCCACTCTTAGAAATTGCCTTCGGTACAGGATGCGCGATACTGTAGAGCGTACGTCATACGATTCTTAAATTAATATAAGTGTTATGGTTTAATTAGGAAGAGTCCTGTCGTGACTAATAAAAGCTACCTATGAATAATTGGTCACAAACCAGATATAGCTAGACTTCTTCGAGAAAGTACGCCCCGTTACAGACTTGAGTTTTGGGGTTGGGATAACTCCCATAGAGTTCTAAAAGGGGAGCCAATTTCGAGACGTACTGATAACCAAGAGTTTTTTAGGAGTTCCGGGATGACCCACCTTTTGAACTCTCTGACAGATTTTGCGGTTCTGCTGAGACTAGCTTTGGTGACTTGATATTCGAATTCGTCTTGTAGGGTAGTGACCGCTTTATCAGTATAGCACAGTGGTCAACCGAAGAAGGCATTTGTGGAGGGGAAGAGGGGACAACGGAGTGCAGCCGTCGCCGGCCACGATTAGGGAACGCAGGACTGCTATCCAAGCTGCGGGGGATTTCTAGCTTCATTGTCCCTCGTAGACGCACCACCGGTTATATCACGAGCGACATTTAGCGCCACGCCTACATCAAGGCCTGGCTATCATGGCGGAAGGTCAGCAAACTTCAGGCCGCAGACAAGGTCTATGATTCGATAATAGACAGGAGCGATACTGAAATGTTGGACGTCCATCCTGTCAATCGATCATTTGGAAATCTATAAACCACCAATCGTAACGTTGGACACGGATGGAACTATCCCCTCTAGCCCTTGAATAAATGCCGACCTCTTTTCGCATTTTGGCGGACGTTTATAACTCCCTCGAATTATAGTAGGGCTCAGGACTTATAAAAGTAACATAACTCACCTGTGTGTCGGACTCACTTACTGTACCTCTGACTGCTACACACACCAAAAGAACCTCACCCGCATGGAGTCCACCCCCCTCAGGCATCGCCTGCGTATGCCCCCATTTACACGACGTTCTCGACTGAAACTTTACTATAATAACATTCTATTAGAGCGTGAATTTCACGGCGAGAAATGGTATTTCATCCTGTTGGAGCCAATTTGGGTCCCTAAAGGGAGTCTGGAGGGGAACGGCGTGAAGGCCGACAGATTCGCGGTCTGTGACCATCCCGACTTCCGGTTCAAACCCACGCCATATCGCGAGGAAGCTACGGCCAAACCATCTAGCGCCAGCACGGCTGAAACTTCATATTTCATCTCCAGTGATGAGGGGGAAGGGGAGACCGAAGCGACGCCATCAGCTGGCTCGGAAGAGGAGCAAGGTCAGGCTACAGTACTGAAGCTAGGACGACAAGAGGAAATATCTGCATCAGGCGCTCTTCGTGAAGTCCACATTTCAGGGAGGCGACGGTAACTCTGACATAGCTACAATATCGTGCTCTGGGCGTTAAAACTCCCACACTCAGAATTCTTATCTTCAGTCGGTTTTTGTGTGTGTGATCGCTGCGTAGCACTTCCAGACGGCCTCGAGGACATCCTGATTGATGATTGTCGAATCATCTCCCTCTTCGAGTAGAAAAATGCAACCTGTGGGTTGGCCTCTCTCCCAGAACTGAGAGACGGTCCTGGTGCGCAAACCACTCTCCGGATCGAGTACGATGAAGCCTCGGTGCGACTTCGCGCTTAACTGAGGCAAATCTCCCCATCGAATTGAACCATGAGATAGCACCTCATTCCTCCGAACGATAAACACTGGGACCCGTGGGTCGAGCGCCACGTCGCCGCCGAGGGTGGCAAGGTCCCGATCTCCCCACGGCGGCGACGTCAAGCGGCTGCCGTCATCATCTCCAATCTCCTCCGTGACGACAGAGGTTTGAGGAGAAGGAAGAGACATTAAGGAATCAATGTATGACTTGGCATTATGGGACCTACCGAGACGATCCTGAGGTTGGACGGGAGATCTGATGAGATCACTACCGCTGGAGGCGGTCAGCTCTCTCGACGCCCACGAGTCTCTGCCCGCCCGTTGGCTGGGCGCCATGGATTTCGGGGCCTCTTCCCCGGAGACTGTAGCCTCTGGGCCTGGAGGAAGGGGGGCCTGGGGCTGGCTCAGTGAAGTGGGAGAATCGGCGTAGAGCCGGTCGACCGGGAAATAGAGGCTGTACGGCGATCGCCCCTCTGAATCGCCGAAAAAGGCAGAGATCTGAAAGTTACGGGCGTCGAGAGCGGTGAAATTCTTCGGCTGCTCTACTACGTTCCGAAGGGGTAAGGTCCGCAGAGAGCGAAGTTGTGCCCATGTGGTGAGGGTAGGTCTCCCTTCGCGGTTGGTGACACGGATGTCGTTGATCTCCAGGCGGGCATCGATCTCTCCGCCGTCGGCTTCTTCTCCCGAAACGGGCTGGCTAGTACTACCCGGAAGATTCCGCGCCCCCAGGAGGCGCATAACGGCCCGCGTGCGCACGCCGTGCTCGTATGCTAACTCGGCGAGCTCTCTCCAGGCACCGTCCGTGTCAAAACAGCGAGCAGGAAGCTTACCGCGTCTCTGGACCACTCCCGGTTGGAGGTCCTCAATTCGATTGAAGGCGAACTTTAACAAGGCCAGAAAGGTGTCCCGGGCGGGCACGGTCGAGTGGATGAGAGTGAGATTATCGAGCCCTATATTGAGATAGTTCCGCCGTTTCACCTCAGGTTGCAAGATGCCTCGCGTCACTTTCAACGCCGGTTCGAACAGTTTGCGGTCTTCTACAAGGGATTGTAGTGTCCGGACCGGCTCCTGGAGCGCCCGTATGTTTTTCTTCAACTCGAGGCGTTCCTCTTTGTTGAACTTGGCAAATAACTTTCCCGCTTGGATCTCCTCTTGGATGTAGTCATCGTCCTCCTTCGATTTTCTTGGGTGTCGACCCCGAAGTTTCGTAACGGTATAGGCATCCAGTCGTTGCCATGGGTCGGAAACATTGGCCAGGATCTTCTCCCAACATTCCAAAATTCTATAGATATAATGGATGATAAGCTACCGAGATATTCTCGCCTAGTTAGTGCATTTTTCCACAACTGGGGGCCGAAAGGATGCATGCCTGTGCTCTCACATACTGAATCGCATCTCCAGTCTAAGAGTTTGAGCAAGTGGCCGGTGGGGCATTCCCTCAGCAGGGATTTACAGTGCACAAGCCGGGCGAACGCTTCGTACAGGTTCGTATGAAGTTGCAATGTATAAATGGCCAAATTGGCGTTGCGAGGTATGTCTCGAAAGCCTTCCAAGGTGCGCGGTTCAATAGGTTCGGGCAGGCCACGCGCCGATCTCTCTTGATGGACTGCGATAAATACATCTGCGGCATTATAGCCTAGCCCGTTGTACTGGCTCTTCTGTCTTGAGGGCATGGTCGCAAATAAGATACCTCTCTATATCGACAGTGAAGCTCATCAGGGCGACGGACTTTTCTTTGACCGAGTGACATCAGGCACTTCCATTAATAAGCTTCTCGAGACCGCTCTTTAGAAGGCTCAGACTTTCAATGCGGATCCCGACATTCTTTTTCAGCAAAAGTTGTCGCGTTAGACCAGTCGCTCGTTGATCCTACCTACCCCGAGCTCTATTCTGCTTTTACAAGAATAACTTACACCACCCACTCCCAATTCGCCGCTGAATCTTTAGGACCGGCTCACTCTCAATTGAGCTAATTTGTGAGGGCCGGGCGTGAGGGCTAGGAATTTTCAAGACATCGGAATTTACTCTCCAACTCGGGCTTGTAGTTGAAAGTTCAAAAGTCTGTATATTATACTATACCTATGTAGGATCTTTGTATCTCTAGTCTATTTACTTCTATAAGAGTATATTTTCATTGCCGAATTTCCACCTCCTTCACCACCTATTCCTGGGCATTCCTGAGACCAGCCAACAGAAATAAAGAAGGCTTTCTATTTCACGACCTTCCCC